GCGGCAGTGCAGGAGCCCAAGAATTACCCTTAAAACGGCCACAGGAGTTTAAAAAGACCAACTGGTCCCCAAATGGTCCGAAGGTAAGCAGTTTCGGACTAGACCCAAACTAGTTCCCCACTGGTTCCCGGACTGGTCCCCGACTGGTTACCAACTTGGCCCAACTGGTCCACCTATACCTCAAGTGGACCACAAGTCACTTCACTTACAAAGCATTCGATTTAGTTGACAATAGTCACATGCATTTACATATGTATGTACATACAAACGAGCACCAATTAATTTTATTTAAAGAAATGGCGTGTCGTCTATTTCCGGTGTAGCAAACGTAGTACATAGGGCGATATCTAGATGTCATCTACCTCGCCCTATTCACTATGCTTTTTTATAGGAGCTTTTCAAAGCTTTGCTTTGTTGTCGGACACACAACATTGAAAGTTTCTGGATCCACAACATTGAAAGTTTCTGGAACACAACATTGCAAGTTGATAAAAGCGTTGTAATAACGTAGATTTAGACAGTTGTTTAATGTGACATTTTCATAAAACTTTTGTATTCAAGCAGCTTTTTAAATCTATACTTATATTTTTATGAAAGTATTATTTGTCATTTCTAATTTTCTATAAAACTATTTGCAGCCATTAACCAACAATTAAGTTGTCAAAAACAACAGCTTAAGCAATGCTGCTATACGAAATAAAATTATTAGTGGCAAAGCAAAATTTTGAAAAGTGCCGATTTCACATTCGATAGTTGGACATGGTAGCGACGAGATGTACGAGCATTTTTTTCTTAAGAGCTGAATACTGATTTAAGAAATTTTTTATAGAAGCAAATTTATTTTCCATTTATTGTGCGTAATTTTATATGAATTTTTAGTTTTTCTTGAGAGCCTTTACAAATAAAAAAAAAATTCGAAATATGTACATATATACATACATACGCAGCCATCCCTGCAAAAATCGTTGGACCATGTAGTCTATTTGTGGTATATTGGAGTACTTACAAAAGTGTTCCTCTGTCATGCTGTAGCGGACCAACTCGTGTCTCTGCGCCAGCTTATTGTTTGTTACCCGATCACTGCTCGTGTTTTAACGAAATGTCATTAATGTTGAGCATTTGAAAGCACATTTGCATGTCTGGCTGTAGCTGAACGTGTAGAGATGCTCGCTATTAGTTGTTAGATCCCAGCATGTTCGGGTTCAAATGCCGTCAGAGGCAACATGTAATTTTTAATTTTTGTTTTTGGTTTTTATTAATTTCGAAAAAGCATCTGAGAAGTGAAGAACAAAAGCGTGTACAAACGAAAAAATATAACAGCAATGCCATTGTTAATATGTTGGAGTAGTTTTGTGCTACTCTGATGTAATGCAGGGATGGAGTATATGGTCCTGCCCTAAGACATCGCAATGTTAATTGGACCATAATTTGTATATGAATTGTGGTTAATTTTGAAGTACTCCTTGGTCCTTGGGGAGTACTCTTTACACGCATGCATGGAGTAGTCGCGATTTTTGCAGGGATATAACTTGATTTCAATAGAAACGAATTTTAATTGGGCACGTTCAAAAGGCGCAACAGCTCAGATCAACTGAATAGTTGCGTGTTAGATGATCGTAATATTTTTCTGATCATTTGATACAACATGTTGGTGTGTACCTTTGAGAGTTGAATTTTACAGCTAATGTATGAAGTCGTTCAGAAGACGCATAACGATCACTGATTTTTTTTAGCAACAGTTGCGCTCAACTGCTGCGCCTTCTGAACCTACCCATTGATAGCTTTTTGTTTTTGGATAACACAGCTCAAATTGGTATTGAGTAAAACCAAATGCAAGAGATAGTTTTTGAATTTCATTGAGTTTTTTTTTAATAAATATTAAAATTAGAGGTGTATGAATGGCGAAAGAAAAACTTTATCAGATTTTTTTAAATCGAAACTACATTTTTACATATGTACATGGATACATAAATATATTTAATATGAAATTGAAATTTTCACATCAATTTGCGCTATCTTCATACCCATGGTTTCAATTGTACGCGTATCGTCAGGGTTTTCCCCACAACTTGGTTTTGCTGCAGTGAAGCGACAGAACAAGTGACGAGAAAAAATATATGCGGACACTTATATATGTATCAATGCACATATGTATGTATCTATGCACATACGTATCTATGCACATACATACATATGTACTTAGGTATGTATATCAGCATTTTAGTTGAAAGTAC